CAGAATCTACTCCCCTCCTCCCAGAGCCTGCCACTGAGCGCTCAATCTCCTACCAAAGCTCCCATCCCGCCTACGATGCGCGGCCACTACACCCCAATTACAGCAAGCATGAAGAATGCCATGTTGACTACAGCGACATTCTTCGTGACATCATCATTGGCTTCTCAGACGGTCTCACAGTACCTTTTGCCCTAACAGCAGGCCTGTCAAGTCTCGGCAGTGCAAAGGTCGTCATCATCGCTGGCCTAGCAGAGCTCTTCTCTGGCATGATCAGCATGGGTCTAGGCGCCTACCTCGCCGCCGTGACAGAGCGCGACGCGTATCATTCCCAAGCTGGTAAAAAGGAATTCGCGGTTCAAAATAGACCTGGTGACGAGCGCACAGGTGTTTACGATGTCTTGGAAAAGTACAGCGTCTCGCGAAGTGCCGCTGCACCTTTGGTAGACGAGCTCTGCAAGAACCCCACAGAATGGGTGCGCTTCATGATGGATTTCGAACTCAAGCTCGAGGAGCCCAATGTTCATCGTGCGTGGATCTCAGCGGTCACCATGGGATTGAGCTACTTCATCGGCGGACTGATCCCCATGATTCCCTACTTCGTCATGCCTCGCGTGCGCGAAGCATTGTTCGTATCGATTGGTATCACGGTCGCTGTGTTGTTGGTATTTGGATACGTCAAGAACTACGTCGCAATTCGCAATCATCGTGCGGGTGTCTGGGGAGCGGTGCAGACATTGGTCATTGGCATGTTGGCAGCTGGCACAAGCTATGCGATCGTGCGGGGTCTGGATTCGAACGATTCTTGAAGGATGGTGTGACTATGGCGCGACGGAGGCGTTTGGCTACGGCGTTAGGGTTCTTTTGGATGCGAGCAAAGTCCTCGTGATGGACGGTGTGATTCAGGATTTGGGTGCGATAGGGATAAAAGTGATGATATCAGAATATTCGTATTAACGACCGAAATGACAATACTCCATTCCTCCAAAGGCAGCGTTTGTTTGCCTAACCAAACAACCATCTCCCGTTCCTACCTCCTCCCCCACTTATTAGTAGTGATCTGTTCGGGTGGTCTCATCAACACTGACCTGTGAAAAAAAATGTGAAGCCATCACCCTCCCCAGAGTGATCGGAATTGAGTCATCCAGCCCACAAGGGAACAGGACGCCGCGTATCGCACTTCAGTTTTTCCCAAAACGAGCCTCGCAAAGACGTTCCCATAGAGGCAGCGTGACGAAAGCACGCGCTCTGAGTATTTCTGATATCTTTTGCAGACGTGACATTGACGCCAGGCCGTTACCGGCAGACCGACGGTTCTAGCAGGATGCTAGCTGTCGGTGATGGGTGAGGCTTACTCCGAATTTCCCACATGCGAAGAGTGATTGAGAGACAGCGCGAGGCGTGTCTCTCTGTTTGTAGCATGGAAACGCAGCGTTGGGGAGGGCGAATGGCTTGAGGAGGGAAAGATTTTGGAAGCAAGGAAGGTTTTTTTTATTGTGCGGATACAGCCGGGGTTAAGCCGGGTGGGGCTGTAGGGTACACCTAGTTGAGCTTTCTGCTTGAAGGAAAATACCTGTTACCCTCAAAAGTTTAATGATGGATCCTTGTAGCCCCGAGAGTTTGGTAGCGAATGTGATTGAAGATAGGTCTCCAGGGTGTGACTTCGACTTTTTCCTGCTCCCATGGCTTTGATGCCTCAAAATGGCGGTCGCCCAACTTTGACTTCTCGACTACAAGTCAACAACCACTAACAATAGGCTTGTCAAATCGTAAGGAAGTTTCACATCGTTCCTAGTCACCTCTAATGAGGAGCGATATATATCTCGTAGTGATTTAAGAATACATAAACCAACAGCAACTATAATAAGAGTCTTAAGATCTCTCATCAATGTATGGTTCTCGAACCTGGTCAGCCCCTGTCGCCTGGGCTGTATGAATTACTAGCACATTTTAAAGACATGCTCATGTTATACAGATACAAATGGAACTGAGATTCTCCCGAAAATCAAGAGAATAATTAAAGAATAAAAAAAGTCCGCAACTGTTCAGTTTCCAGTGGAAATTGCATGACCAAGCTTTCATTCAGACTGAGACTGTTTTCAAAGACATCACATTTACAATTAAGAGCAAACGTCTTCTACTCAAGATAAATGACTGCAACATCTATGAGACACTAGGTATAGGTATATGCCAGTTGGAAAGTTATAGTTCATCAGTGACCTCGTTCACTCATCTCATTGAGATTGCCCAGGGCGACGAGCGGGGAAGTTAAAGTTTGTTATTTCTTTATTCATTAACATAGGAATTATTTATATATGACGTTAAAGAGACGTTTCCGACCTGACCTCTGACCTCGCACTCTTATGATCCATATCCTTCATATGAACTAAGTATGTCTCATCATTGTCTCCATATTCCACCTCATATGTCCTATGACATTCAATGCCCACGGGGTCGACCCGTCTTTGTGATCGATCCGCTTGAGAAGTAGCATTTGTTCCAAGAGGAACACTGCGATTGTGAGTGTTGCCAGGCGTTTGCTTGTTGCTCTTGCTGCCGTAGTTGTAGTAGCGTTGGGAAGTACCAAGAATCTTGGGGAATAGGCGGACGAGAAGAATTCGGAGGGACGGCATGCAGGCGCAGATGATACCGACGTTGCCTTCGATGGTGGACCATTTTGATACAGCGAGGTATTCCCAGGTTGCGTTGGAGGTTTTGACGCCGGCTTGGACAGTGGCGTGAAGACGAAGAATACTCATGATTGTGACACTTATAAATGTTAGTGAGTGAAGAGTCTAAGGTGGCAGGGAATGAACTTACAAGATACCGACGCTGAACATCATGCCAACACCGATCTTCTTTCGCCAATCCAAGTTTAGTGACTTGAGTTGAGATAAGGGAATGCCAATGATCCAAACGTCGAGGGCGATGTTGATAGCGGCATTTGACCAAGTAACCGCGTTGATATCGGCACATTTGCCTTCATGTTGTCCATCCCACTTCAGCCAGAAGTAGTTGATAGGCCGACACTGGAAGATGGCCACGAAAATAAACACCAGCCCAAAGACAACCGTGAACGCAACAGTCCCCCAAAGTAACCTCCTGACATTCTGCGTCGGAAAGATTCTCAGGTAGAAGAACAGCATAGACAGCTTCAGAAACGTTTGCAGTGAGAAGTACATGATGGCCATGGTGTAGAAGAACATTCCGAACTGGGTGATCTGATCAGGTGTAACAGTCCAGATGTCGCGACCCATGCCGTTGGGAGCGAGACCACGAGAGTTGATGACGATGGAAGGAATGGCGACACACATTGTCAGTGCGATGAAGAGATCGTCAAGGCCGAGGGGGAGCTTCCAGTAGAGCTTTGTACCGAAGCGTTGGATGATGAAGATTCCTGTTATGATGGCCATGACTTCATTGAGGACTATGAATTGGGGTGAGTGGTCTCTGACTGGAGCGCCACATGCTGTGAGAGTAGCATTTTTCGTGCCTACCGATGTGAGTTGGTGCACAAGAAGAGACCAAGGTTAACATACTAAGGGCCTGTGGAATTGTACATGCGCGCATGACGCAGCCTTCGATGTCTTGTTGTAGTGCGGAATTAGTGCACATGCACTTCTGGTCTGTAAGTTCACATGTCGATCGCTCAACGGCCGACACGAAACAATTTGCCTAGGTCCCCGTCAGTCACAACTCACATGTGAAAGTCATGAAAAAAAAAAAAAAAAACTCACAGCACATTCCGGTAACGCAGACAAAGCAGAAGCAGCAGCAGAAGAAGACTCTTGTTGAGCAAAAGCCAGAGGCAGAGCCGCAAGGCAAGCGAAGATAGCCCCACGCGGTAGCCGCATCGTAAAAAGCAAGATGATTGAGAAACAGATGGATCTGGGGATTGGGTGGGAGAGGGTGGACTGATATGTAGTTGCAGGGCTAGACAAGATCGTCTGCAAGGGAACTTCAGCCCAGTTTTATGTCACTGCCCGAGCTGTGCTTCAGATTCGTACGTAAGTTCCGCGGTCAGACCCGCACAGACTGATCTGATTCAGTGTTTTGAGTCAGGACAGACATGGTAATGGGGAAAAGACAAGTCAAGAACAGGCTGAATACGATTAAAACAAGGTGAGCCAAGGCGGAAGAGGAGGTCCCAAGGAACCGGATCAGGATGAACTTAATAAGTTTGGTTGATGACTTGCAGTGGATACGGCGTTATCATTGGGGACAAAAGGTCCATTACTTGGTGTCTGATATTGACAGGTTCGTTTACGGTGGCCGCGGAATGAAAGAGGGAGGTGTCACTACATCTGTAGTGGTGGGTGAAACGTGAAACCGTCAATCGCTGGTCAGAACTCTAAAACCGGCACTTGAGCCGATGATCTTTTTTACTTTTTTACTTTACTCTACAGAACCAAGAAACTGGTTTTCTACGACGATCGTGGGCTTTGATGGTCAAAGCAAAAGAACAATGAAGATCACGCCTCGATATAGATTAAACATTTCAGATTCCCGAATCCTCCGAACTGGGGCCCGTAGATCACCACGAGTCTCCTCTTCAAGAACCACTCTCTTTACCTTTGCGCCCCTGCGATATCCACTAGACCCTCTTGGTGATGTATATCCGACATCAAACCGTGATATGGGTTCGCCTATTGCGCCACCGTTTGCCAAGCAGACTCGCATTCTCCATTTAGGCAAGCCACTCGCCGCCAGTCTAGAAATAACTCAACGTTCGTTCACCGTTTTGCGAGTTAAAGGGGGGGCTTTTCCTCTTTCTCCTCCCCTTCTCTTCAAAGGGGTCCGCGGTGTAGTGGGGAACGAGACGGAGAGACCCCTGAAGCTAAAGACGCTAGCTATAATGGCATCGGACCTTTTTCCAAGCAAAGATTGGTGAGAGGGCTGTGGCGAGTTGGAATGACCAGATGATGTTTCGGGGTGACAGCTGAGAAGGGGAATATATACCGTTTAGGTGCTGCGAGTATCATGCATTCATTAATTGGCGACCTCCTTGCTGAAACTCTCCTTGCGTGAGAATTTCTGCAGAATGGTCTAGCCCTGTAACTGCGGGACCCCGTGAAGATTCTGTCAAAAGTGGCGAATGTGGATGAACTTTTTGCTTTGACTTCAGACTACTTGACTCAGAAGCAAATATCCATGAGCAAAATCCCCTCTGCGATCCGCAATGCCATCTCAACAGGTTTCTTGTAAAGATCATTCACACGTGGCTATGACTGGGTTCGTCGATTGCCAAGGCGGCTGGAGTCCGGCTGGAACAACCGGGATCAGCATGGGTTCTTTTCTTCTTTCATATTTAATCTCCGGCGCCTGGAACCCTTCTCTACCTCGGGTAACTCGGCTATCAGAACCCCATATAGGTCCCCCTGGCATGTTAATGCACATCCCCCATGAGGGACCTGCCAAGAAGGGTTATTCGCGCGGGAGGGCAGCATGGCATTGCAAAGTCAAAGATGAACCAACAATCAACAAAGCTTGCTAGTGCGCGGTGAGAGCTGAAGGATCTAAAGCCTGCACTTCATGGACTGTAGATTGCAGGAACAGGGGCTTGTAAATGCTAAATTCTCGTGAATAAATACTCATTCTGTCCCGCCTAACCACGCCACTTTGTCACTCATTCCGCTCCAAACTACCCTCAAAATGAAGTCCTTCGTCTCCTTGGCGCTTCTGCCTCTAGCACTTCTCATCGATAGCTCCAGCGCCACAAACACTAGCTGTCGCTGCCTCCCAAGCGACAATTGCTGGCCTGCCGATAGCGTCTGGGCCAAGTTCAACAGCACCGTCAGTGGTGCTCTCATCAAGACTGTCCCCCTTGGCTCGCCATGCCACGATCCCAACTACGACGAGGCGGCTTGCGCTGCCGTCAAGGATTCGTGGAAGTGGCCCATGACACAGTAGGTTTTCCAATCTTTCTAGCGCCGAGCGCCACAAATTAACCAGAAACAGCATCGAGACTTCATCGTCGGTGATGCAGAATTGGTTCGCCAATCAGAGCTGTGACGCTTTCACTGCGGAGGAGAAACCCTGCACCCTTGGAAACTACGTGAGCTACGCCGTCAAGGTCTCGAATGCTCGCCAAGTAGCTGCCGCCGTTCAATTCGCAAACTACTACAACATCCGGCTAGTCGTCCGAAACACGGCTCATGAGTACGTTGCACCCCAGATTAAAGTTCGATAACCTTATTAACTTTATCGCTTTTAGCTACTTTGGTCGATCTACTGGTGCTGGCGGCCTCGCTATCTGGACTCATCATCTCAAGAACACTGAGGTTGTTCAATGGGCTGACAAGACTTACAACGGCCCTGCTTTCAAGCTTGGTGCTGGTATCCAGGGCTTTGATAGTGTTGAGTATGCTGACTCTCAGGGTCTTACCAGTGTCCCTGGTGAGTGTCCCACTGTAGGCCTTGCTGGCTTCACTCTGGGCGGTGGTCACTCTCCTCTCAGCTCCAGCTACGGTCTTGGTGCTGACAACACCCTCGAGTTTGAGGTTGTCACCGCTGCTGGTCGTATTGTCCGTGCCTCTGCCACCGAGAACAGTGACCTTTACTGGGCTCTCAGCGGCGGTGGTGGTGCCAGCTTTGGTATCGTCACTTCTATGACTGTTCGAGCTCACAAGACCACTACCATTGGTGGTGCCACTCTTACGCTGGTTGCTGGCACTGACAAGGATGTCTTCTACGATGCTGTCACCAAGTTCCACGAGCTTCTGCCAGCCATGATTGATCACGACGCTACAGTCACCTACATCCTCACCAGCGCTTATCTCTCCATCAAGCCTGTCACCATCGCCAACTCCACTGGCGACTATGTCCGTGATGAGGTTCTCGCTCCTTTCACAGCCTACCTCTCCAAGGCCGGCCTCACGCCCACCGTCTCATACACCACCCTGAGCTTCCGCGACCACTACGAGCTCTACAATGGCCCTCTGCCCGGTGGCCACCTGGAGGCCTCTCAGTTCCAGTTCGGCGGTCGTCTCATTCCCCGATCCGTTCTTGAGACTAACAACGTTGCTTTCAACAAGGCCCTCCGCAGCCTTGGTACCGCTGGTGTTCTCGTCGCTGGTAGCAGTGGCAAGTTCGAGAGCTACCCTGGCGTCTCCAATGGCGTCCCTTCATACTGGCGCAAGGCCGCTATTTCCCTGCAGATTGGAACTCTCTGGGACTCTACTCGCTGGGCTGACATGATCGCTGATCAGAAGAAGATCACCGAGGTTTACATGCCCCAGCTTAAGGCTGTTACTCCCGGCAGTGGCACCTACATGAACGAGGCTGACTTCAACGAGCCTGATTGGAAGAACGTTTTCTACGGTACTAACTGGGACCGTCTGAATGCTATCAAGAGGAAGTGGGATCCTAACTCCTTCTTCTATAACTTCAAGGGTGTTGGAAGTGAGGCTTGGACTGTGGCCAATGATGGTCGCATGTGCAGGGCGTAAGACTTGTAATGACTTCTATTAGCACATATTTCAATTGTATCATACAATTTAGCATTCATAACTTGCATAGCATGGGGTATTAGCATTCAACGGGGTATATATTATTAGAGTTCTTGAAGGCCTATTACGATACAGCTCTATTCTTCATGTGACATGTTTCTGAATAGTATTCTACGATGTAACTGATGGATAGTAAAGGAATTATGAAATTTAAATGGCTAACCCGATTCATCAAAGCCGAATGTTACCGTGCAAGCTGTAGTCATATATGCCACAGTCATCGCATTTTGTCGTAGCAACAGATCAAGTTTAACATATGTAATATAAGTGAAAAAACAATCTATTGAAGCCTGAATATATATATCTCGAAAGGAATGAAGGAGATGTAAAAGGTAAATGCAATCCCAGCCCGAATCCTATTCTATCCCGTACGTCACCATCACCTCTTCGCTAATGTAAAGCCGATATCCGTAAGAAAGCGCAGTGCTAATGCCTGACACCTCATATTCTAACTAACTTAGAAGCCGCCGTTAGGGTTGGGGTTAGGAATGACCTGTCCACCCTGCTGAACAGGAGGGATGACCGACTTGACAGTCTCAGCAGCAAGCTCCTTGTGTCTTCGGAGGCTGAAGTCCTGGTTATCAAAGTTCTGGTTGATGACGCCAACCATGCCGTTCTGGCAGTGGTCTCCCATCTGCTGAGCACAGTAGTACCAGATAGGCTTGGAGTCCTCAACCACAATCTGGAAGACATCAGGAGCCTGGCCCTCCTGGGTAGGGAAGTTGAAGCCGGCGAAGAAACCGCTGCCGTCGGCGAGAGGTTCGCAGGGCTCGCCGAAACTGGATTGGGCGACGGTGTGGTTCTTGGGGAGGAAGTGCCACTCGACAACGTCGCCGACTTCAGCGACGACGTTGTCGGGGTCGAAGCGGAGACCACCGAGGCCGGCGTTGACGGAGTGGGTTACACCGGTGAGAGTGACGGTCTTGTCGGGTGTTGAGCGGACGGTCTTGGAGGCGGGTGCCGCGGAGACAGTGGCGGCGAGGAGGAGAGTAGCGGAGACGATCTTGGAGAACATTTTGATGGTTTATGAGTTATGAAGTTGAAAGTGAGGTGAAAGAGTTGTTGAGTAGTGTGAAAGTGTAAGTTGTTTGATTGTTAGTGTTGTTGTGATAATGATAAAAATATTGCCAGTAGACCGGATATCTCCTTCATTATATAGACAATTGAATCTATCTAAAATCTATTTCAAATTCATCAAAGTCATCATCATCATCACAGTGTAACTCATCTCTCTGTGCCACCGCCTCAGCTGGGAATAGCAACCAGCTGTCCAACTCAGCCATCCCCGGAAGAGCTCTCCTCCGAGGCCTGTCAAGCCGGGATTTTCTCTGTCCCCATTGGCCAAAACATGATTCTAGCATGGCTGAGGGGAGCTGACTGTTTCTCGGCATTTAGTGAGCTGTAAGCGTGGTTTACACTAGCCCCCAAAGACTGCGCCTCAACGTGGAATGAATGATGAGATTCTTATTTTTATCTTAGTAAGAGGATTTCTATTGGTTGGAGGCATGAGAGTGCTTTTTGGCAAGCTGCTTATGTTTCAAGCCATGGGATTTGTTTGTGCGATGCTGGTGCTTGTCAAGTCGGGGAAGCTTACTTTGCATGGTGATGCCTGTATTGCCGACTATCCGAATACCATGCTTTTCTTCCTTCAGTGAAGAGCTTATATTAAAATTGCAAGAGACCTTGATTGAACAGGTTCGGCCGCTTCGGGTTTGACGACATCCGGCGCTATAATTGTCAAAGCTTTCTATACCGTCGGGCATAACAATCTCACTCAGCGGTGTCCTTGCCTTCATAGCGCCAAGCTCTTGGATTGCCCCCGATGCTCAATAAGCCAAAAAATTCCCTAACGGAAGGTAAAATCTCAAGGATACTCACCCAAGTACCAAAAATCAGAACGTGGCGATCACGCTGGGACAGCATCGCATGGAATTGACAATTCTGGTTAAGTGGCGCGGCCCCCATATTATTAGCATCAAACCTAAGAACACAGAATCTTTGGCCCAATGGGGATGTCTCTCTTTAATGCACGGCATATGTGTGGTGGCAGTGACCAAAGTCCTTTCTCAGCATAAGTGCAGTTCTGAGTTGGACAGCGGGCTTGACATGTTGTCAGCATTGCTGCATGGTTGTTAAAACGCAACAGCTTGAAACCCTCAGCTTGAACCAATAGCCTACCTACTGAAGGTGAAATCATGTGCATGGTGAGATAAGAATAAATAAACTACCAGCGTGCTACGAAAAGTATGCAATGACAAGTTCTGGGTCAGGGTTAGAATGGCCAGTACGAATCATCCCCATCAAGCCATCATAATCAGATGAAACGAATCACACTAGTCCATTGTGGCCTCGAGTCCCAGTAGCTCCGTACGCGTTCTAAGTTTAGTGTCATCATGGCCGTCGGGGCTCAGCCTCACGGACATTCAAGCATCACACTTGTAACGCATCATCCATACATAACCCCGCAGTATGTCATATTCGACTCCCAATCACAGAACGGGTGGCTTCCTCTTACTATCTTGAATCGCTGCTTGACTAAATATATCGGACCTCGATATAATTAACCAGACCTCTCAGTAGGATTAGACCGCTTCATGTTTTGTCTTGGTTATACAAGGATCCCTCGTCTCATTCTAATAACACTGCCATCGAGGATATCGAAATAGGCCACGCGGGGATAACGCTATATTTATGCAAGTAGACTCGTTAAGCAATCACTTGACATCACTTCTGATCCCCCAAACCGTTGTGGAGATAGACTGGCTGCCCAGGAAGGCTCTTTCGAGTCTGGAAGTACATTCTGCCCTTTAGAAGCGGAAACTGGAATGAAAGATGTACTAAAAGCGGTGAGGTTGATATCCTTGTCATGTAAGTTATGTGTCTTACCGGTAGTTCAAATTGAGAACGCTGAAAACGTGAACTGCATCCTTGAATATCTTCTCGGACCAGCTGACCGAGTCCCTGTCCATCGGCCATGAGTCAAGGCATAGAGGATTTGACAGTTTATCCACTTACATTTTGTTGATCGCAATGACCAATCTTTCTCGTGGCAGAAGCTCACCACTTGACAATAGAGCTGCCAATTTCGTCGCTGATGCGGCCCAGGTCAATAAATCTGAGCCATCAACGACCCAAATAGCAAAGTCAGGCGTTTGACTTTCTGGAAAGAATCTATCAGTAATAAGCTAAGTGAATAAGGAGTTTGATGGCATACTCTCAACTTCAAAGAGGCCCGATGGAGCATGGAAACATAGAGGCTGCCCTCTCTTCTCAAAGAATGTCATAATGTCTCCATACTGAATTCCTTTCCGTTCCAGCTCCTCCAACTGTGACAGCCCAAGCCCGCACCATTGAGAGTTAGCATAGCAACTTCCGATCAAGAAAATAATAAACAATACCATATAAATCAGGCAGCCGACAAGAGTCTTCTTACCAGCTCCGGCATCGCCTAGTACGCTCAGCGATCTCAAGGTCATGTTCTAGGGGGCAGCACGGCAACACGATGGGAATAACTGTCGCGTGATGAAAGACGATTTGCTTGAAGAATAAGCCAAGGCGGGGTAATCTGGAAAATAAACTAGAGTTGGTCAGCTTCAATTCGATTGGGCAATGTTTGCTTTTTCATGTCGTGAACCAACAGCTTTATGTTTGCCCAGGATGAATCAGCAGCCAGCCACAGACGCATCGTGCTCTTGGGACCTGGACCTACAATGCATGGTTCAAGCACTTTGTAGCAGAATGTTTGGTTGCGTTGGCAATGCTTGTGGCAGCTGGTAGCGATCCCTGGTCTTAGCTTTAGTCGGAAAAACTTGATCTACTTGGTGTGTTTCCCAATATCATGAACTATCAATGTCATGAACTATGTGCCGATGCTTGAAACCCTAAACCATTGCATTGAGAAAGAGAAATAGTTATCAAGAAAAAGGACTGTTCAATCATGATAAATTTTATTTGTTTGTACCCTTTAATATCTGTGTATGGTGACTATGAAGTTTGTTGACGATTGAACTATGATGAACAAGTTGAACCGCTTGGTCTTGACAGGTGCAGCAGAAACAAGCAACCACGATAAAGTTTATCCATTGGCATATCTTTACAAAGAAACCGTAGTGGTTTTAATATAAGGCTTGCTCCCAAGGCCATCACCCAGAAGCTGTTCCAGCTACAGAAATATGGTTCAGTGAGCTGTGAAGGCTGTTGACTTGGGGCGAGTATGCCTCACCCTCTGTCACATACGACCATAGCTCGTAGAAAATACGGGATCCCGTCTGCTCTCCCATAGTCAAGCTGCGAAGCGCTGGATTAGTAGTTGGGTCGGTGACGACCAGCGAATCCCCGGTGTTGTATGTTTTTTGGTGTTGAAACTAATTTTTGCTAGTCCCCACGATATCCACCTCAGCAAACCAACTTCCTTCGTAGATGGGTAGTTCAAGACCACCGGAAACATCACTGCTTGAAGGAGACTTTTGTGAATAATATTTCATTCTAAGTATATATGCTAAACAGATTCTCCAGCTCTTGTGTTATTGAGATCCATCGACATGGTTGATCCAGGCAAATATTAGGAATGTCCTCGGCCACCGCCGTCAAATCACTGCTGCTTACTGAGATAATCCAGTTATGGTCATCATAGGTCTGTTTGCGTCATAAGGGTCTCGGTGTTTTTCAATAGCGATATTCCTTGCATCTAGAAACAGTGAGATTCGACTGTTTTGTAAAAGATGTCAATGCTGTACTTACTGTTTACCCGAGCACCAGAAATGAGTATACCCACCGACAGAGTGATTAGATGTAGATTAAGTAAAGGCTATATTGAACACAGAAGATAAGTAGTACTCTTAGAGTTCTAAAGTAACCGGATCCCAAACAACTCGTACGTCACCAGCAGTTCGTGGCCTGCCCGTCAGCATACTAAGTGCTCGCTAGAAATTTTGATGAAATACATGCATACCTTGAGGTCCTGCTCGCTTTTGAATCAAATATTTATGTTACTCTCCGCGTGATTCTGATATTATACGGTTGTGAAAGATCTCAAGTATGAAGCCCGCACTTCCATGTGACTTGATGAGCACTTTTACCACCCATTGGCCATTGCCGACTCGGCGACTGGTAATATAAAAAGTCTCTAGCACCTAAATTTGCCATGGCATCCCGTCCAAGCCCAACTTCAGAACGTCCAACTTATTTGGACGTACTGGACAATGAACATCGGAAGGTACTCGAAAGAGCTGTGAGGAACCTCCTGAGCACGGAGGTAGCCGAGGTTATATACGCCCAGATTCTTGATGGACTTCCCACTGAAAAGTCTCTGAGAGACAGTTCTGACTATGTTAAAGATCATCCCGTTCATAGCATCCAACACACCGAGATTTGCCCCGGATATGTAGAGAAAGCCCGCGAATTTAGCAATCAGTTTGACTTATTACAGCTACAAATAAAGTTCAAAGTGAGTCTCCGATTTCAGAGAGTTCCGTGTATGGCACTCATACTTGCTTAGACAATCAAAGCCTTTGAAGATGCACTACCAGGCTCAGAACAATTCAGTCTTCGACTGATCGAACTCGTTGCCGTGGCTTTTCATGAGATCGGCGCTCATCTCTTTGATCTCGATGACGGTGCTCACAAGCACAAAGTCTACGAAGAATGGAGGCAAACTGTACTAGAAGAAAAAGAACGCATGGGTTGAGTCACAACGATACTATGATCCTCCTCCTATCGCCTTTTGCCATCGAGCATATCGATATCCTGAGCAGTATCCAAAAGGTTTAGCTGATGTTGCTGGCTATTGGGCTGAGTCTAAAATCCTCGGTGGGGTCGTTTTATTCGACCGTGGTGAGACTGAGCAAGATGTATGATATTTTGATTCTTGATTATACAGACCAAAAGCTGACAATAATTTCGCTTGGAACAGTGCAATGCCATGTGGATCCATGGAGACCTGATTAGAGGCCCGAGAACTCTCTACTCACCTACCAAGGAACAATTCGATGCCTTGACCAGGTTCCTCACTAACCCATTAGAGGAAGGTTTAACATGCCCATTTCCTATACATGGAGCAAGCGTTAACAGACCACGATGGCATCCATATCACGCATTCGCATACTATCACATCTTCCGTGATAGGTATGAGAGGAAGCTTCCGCCAAACCCACCACAACCAGGCTGCGTTGAGGATGGGATGGACTGGCCAGAACTTGACGATCGGCGTATTCTTCTGCTGGGGGGGTTTTCTAACGCTCAAGGCGAGCCATACGTCAATGACGACGAGTATGCTGCGGCTACAGTGAGGATCAAAAACATCACGCCTTCTTCGCCTCTTTGGCGACCATCTGAGATCTAAATTGAAGCTTAAAGCGGCATTTATTGGGTGTCAAGAGGCAAACGTGGGATACAGGTTATGGTCTCGAGATGATACACGAAATTTGGAGCAACATCACAAGAAATGAGTGACTAGGTCTATTCTCAGCAGTCAAAGGAATTGATACGTTTCATTATGGTGAGAGTTTGAGAAAATAAACTGGTCAAAGAGCAAGCTAAGTTCATCATAAACTATGCTAAATATATACCAGCAAGCTAGATTTATCATAAACTACCCTCAAGATACCATAAGCAAGCGAATTTCATCATAAATGATCCTAAAGATATCCTAATACCACCTTAGCTTTTTTATCACTTGGGATACTCAAGCTCTCAGCCACAAGTCTCAACCGCAAATAACACATCTGGCTAATACCCCTCGCGTAGCTTTTAACAGCTACATCCACACACACCAGGCAGAACACAGTTCTTTCCACAGCCATATGGAAGTCCATTTGTTCCGCAGTCCTCCCACTTGCACCTGGTCCACGGCCCGACCCCTCCGGCCGTAGCGGTCCAGCACCATTTGCCGCTCCCTTTCTCACCGCAGCTCTTCCAGCAGTACTTTTCTGAACACCCGTACGGTGCTTTTTAGTAGCAGCGCCTCTTTTGGAAGAGCTTGGAAACACCCGTTGGGGTTGTATCAGGGACATCCCCTTCCTCGAAGGGGGCTAGAGAGGCTCCCTCGGCGGAATCAAGGGTGCGGTTGCGGCCGAGGGGATGATCGGCGCAGAGGCGAAGATCCGAGGGCTCTACACCATCAGGGAGACTTCCGGGGGTGGCCTGAAGAATTCCGAGATCTCCACAAACAGCTTCGGCACCCGAGATAGTGGAAGATACAGCAGAAATCAGGGTTGAGTAGGCGAGAACGAGAATAGCGCTGTCGTATTTCATCGCGACTGATGAATGTAAATTGAAGATAGAACGTGTTTGAGTAGTAGATGTGTTATTTGCAGTTGAGACTTGTGGCTGAGAGCTTATATCAGCACAGAGAACTTTGTGTTTGAGCAGTGAACAGGTGCTTGAACGGGAGCTGTTGCGGATGAATTGCACTAAAGACTGAGGATTATCCAGGCCTATTTACACTTATTGCAAAGACTTTTCTTCCAGAGGAGAAGAGTATTGGTATCTGCTCAACAATTTGAGGCAGTACAGTAAGCATGAGAAGCCCTGTTAATGCTGTTGGTCGCCATGACGCCCTGCAGCCCAGCGTTGCTCAAGGCCGTCCCTGACTTGATACCGGCTATTATCAATATTGAACAAGAAACCACACTCCTTGTCAAGCCCTTAATCATTAATCATTTACAAGATTAGGGCACGACGGAAAGTTCATCTACTGGAGGAAGTTAATCAAATGAGCAAAGGTACGTGGATAGAGTTATTATTAGGTACCAGCCTAGCTAAGAGTCTCTCCCTGTCACAAAATTGATCAAAGGTACAGTAGCGTCAAAAAAGCAGGCTGGTTTAAAAATTCCAAATTCTAAGAGAAAGGTGTATAGCCAAGGGTCAAGACGGATGGTGACTCAGCCCCTTGTCAAATATCTCATGAAAAGAGTAATCGCCGTGGGAATAACCACGCAAACCGAACCTTTCATACATCCATGAGTTGCCTATTCGGGTTTGTTAGTCTAGAACGAGCGGAATATACGAGTAATATGCCTCTGTAAGCGAATGACCCTGGTGAGCCAAGACGGTCTGGATCGCATATGTGTCTCACTTAGTTGACAGCAAATGAAGCTTTGCGCAAAATTCACAGGGGAACGGAACCTTCTGAACAAATCATGGTTCTGGAGTACAATGTGACCAATTGGCAGTCAGGTATCAACCAGCATGATATGATCATGAGAACGTGATCACAGCCAACAACCAACAGTCAAAAACGCCGCATTCGGACATAGTACCTGATATTCTGATAGCGAGGATACCGATCAAACCGCGAAATTAGATATATTCATTTGAACTTAACTCGTGGCCACCCCGCTGCTTCCCATCTTTTCAAAAACACCAAACCTTGCCTCTTCGTTCGCAGCCATCACAGGATTCTACTTGCTTCATTTTCCATCCAAAATGTTCGTTTCAAGGTCCGCCATTGTTGGCCTACTGCTGCCCTCAGCATCCGCTGTTTCACGTAAGTGTATACCAAGACTCAACCTCTTTCCAGTGAGGTATTAACTTAGGGAATAGTCACATACAGCAAACTCTATGACAACAACTCGATCCCTGTTAGCCAACTGGCATGCTACAAAAACGGCCTTATCATGGATGGGCAGCCAGAATGGCAAACTATTGGGGACATCCCGCATTCGATCACCGGTCTTGAACAAGTCGATGGACCAGATTCTCCCCTTTGCGTTTCCCGCTGGATACTTACATATGGTGAGACTTCCAGACCCGTGCTTATCCTAGATAGCGCAAAGGAGGGGTTCGTATCGACTCTTGATGCATTGAACTGGCTTACGGGTAACAAGGGCGAAGAGCTTGGAAAAGTCGAGGTGAAGACTACTAGGGTTGATCGCACGAATTGTGCCTTTCCCCTGAGGAGATACAGAAGGGACTCTGATGTGTCTTGGTGGTTTTTACCTGGCATCTGCCTCGCAAATAGTTTCTTGGAGGGCATCTTTTGCCGTCTCTTCTCATCATCCTCCTGGGTTCAATCTTTTACTGTCAGTTGGATCCCAAAGCGAATCGAATAGTGCTTAGCTAGTGATGTGTTCTGAGAGAATTGGCATACTTATAAAGCCTAGTCGTAGGTAGCAGTAGCACTAGAAAGCACGGTTAATTGCCGCCCTATAAATATCATTCAATGAGGCTGAACTACACCCTAAGCTCCTCCGAGAGATCCGAGCCTAGAGCTCTCATTTCGGCACGGAAGCTATATAAAAGGAACGGAAAGAAATACAGCAACGGTTAGATCGTCGCAATTAAATAGGACGGCCTACGTTGTAAGTGGTGGATGATTTATGAAACAGAACCTTGCAGACAGCCGTACTTTGCCTATTTAGGCGATTCGGATAGTGTCTGCCGAAATCTCCAGGGTTGATCAGGAGATCGGAGAAAGTATATAAAAGACAAAGTATCCTTATTGATTGCGTTAACGGTATTGTTCGTTATTGAATACGTTGCTGCCTGTTCAGATATCACGTCACGGGCAAGATGAAGGTGGCTGTATTGACCCTTTTTATGACCGCTGTGTCGGCCGCCTCACTCCCTGTAAGTCTCGCCATCGTTAACAAGAGGCACTGCTAATCTTTGGATGCAGAGCTATAGATTTGTCGGAAGAGTCAACCCGGCGACTAAGCAGCTCACATGGCCGAGCACCGGAGTGGCCTTCACATTCAAGGGAACTACCGCTAGTATTAAGATCGACGGCATCACCGGGACATCAAGCGCAGATTTGATCATCGACGGCGGCAGTCCAATTCTTATTAAAAATGTAGAGGGAACTTCGATCTCGACTCCAAAGCTCACAAAGGGTACCCATACCGTTGAGCTTCGCAAACGATCAGAAGCCTCTTTCGGTGTCTTCCGAGTTACCGGCGTCAACACGGATGGCCAACTGCTCGAGAATGTGGCGCCAAAGCGCAAAATTGAGATCATTGGCGACTCCATCACCGTTGGATACGGCCTTGATGGCGTTCTGCCTTGTGTCGACTCAGCCGTACTGCAGAACAATGGCAAAACATACGGTGCCGTGGCAGCGAGAGCTTTGAAGGCGGACTATAGTGTCGTCGCCTGGAGCGGCAAGGGCCTTATCCGCAACTATGCCCAGAACCCCCCTGATACTTCACCAACTATGCCAGTTCTCTACACGCGCTACGGGGCCAACGACGCCGACAACAGTTTCACGTTCCCTAGTTCGTGGGTTCCTGATGCTGTGGTGATCAACCTGGGCACAAATGACTTCAGCTACCTAAACGTGCGCCAGCCAGTCAACCCTGCCGATCTCACCAAAGCCCTGGTCAAGCTGGTCAAGAGCATACAGCCACACTATCCAAAGGCTCAGTTCTTCTTTGTTTCTTCCCCGCTCCTCAGCGATAGCTACCCCACTGCAACTGATGCGCAGAAGTCCACACATGTCAAAGTTCTTAAGGACGCTATGCAACAGCTGACTGGTGTCAAGACCCATCTGGTTGATTGGCCTACTCAGGGTTCTGATGCAGGATGTGACTATCACCCTAATGCTGCAACGCAAGCCAAGGGCGGCGCACTTCTGGAGGCCTCTATTAAGTCAGCTCTAGGATGGTGAGTGCCGAAAGACAGTGGTAAGCGATTATGAAAAGGCAAATTGGTATCGAGTGAGGTTTCTTTAGCTCCGAGTGAAGTCAGATAAGATGAAAGTGATGGATGAATGGAAAGCTACTCACTCTAATAAAAAACGATTGGCATGATTTTCTTATTGGCAATTTCTAGCAAAACTATAGTATATCAGCTCGTATAACAACTATTTTCATAAGCTGATCATCTCTCTGCATAGCCTCGTTTGTGCATATTATCCTTGCAATATTTATCCAGTCACATCATGCAGGCGGGGCCATATTGCACTGGTCCAACATGACTTAAATAGTTCACAGCCCGATTCTAGCTGATCCCTTCATGCTTTTGTTTCACTCTCCTGTTTTACTGATCATCTCAAAATGGATCCGATTACAGCATTTCAAGTCGCTGCCTCAGTCATAACCTTCGTGGAATTCGGGCGCAATATTCTCACTGAAGCCCGTGAGGTATACCAATCTCCGTCGGGGACACCGTCAAAGGTCGCTCAGCTGGGCCAAGTCGCAAAAGACCTCGCCGCTGCTGGAGATAGCGTGTCGGAATCCCTGATCAAAAGTGCTCCAAACTCCAGCGCAGCTTCCGATGAAAAGCTCTTGAGGCTATGCGGAGAATGCAACACCATCAAGAATGAGTTTCAGCAAGCTCTGACCAGGTTTCAAGCACGAGGAAATAACAAATTAAATCATGCTGTTAGCAGCGTTTCTGTAGCATTTAAGACGATTTGGTCTCAGAGCAAGATTGATGAGCTTGATCAACAGCTTCGACGGATACAGTCAGAAATGACTATGGCTGTTCTTATGTCGCTTTGGTGGGTTCCAATAATTGATGCCTACAATTTCAATTCCTTCCTAATAAAATTGACTTAGGGAGAGGGAAACGGTTGAAGGCAAGTCTCAAAAGCAATATCTGGAAAGGATAGAAGCAAGCATCAACCAAACCAACAATAGACTCGACAACGTGATGCATGATCTGATACAGACCTCTTATGGGAACACTCCAGAGGGTATCGATAATCGGACCCAGCTACTCAGAGAATTATCGAGAATTAATTGGAAGCCGGATCGTGTCATGGTTATTGATGACGAAGAGACAACAGAACTGTTTCAGCAAGACATCATCGACAGCCTTTGGTTCTCGTCAATCGAATCTAGGGACAGGTCGATCCCAGATCCATACAAGTCCACATATAATTGGATCTTCAGTGAATATTCAGATACCAAGTTTGTTGAGTGGCTCAGAGGATCTGATGATCCTCTCTACTGGATCACTGGGAAGGCAGGCTCTGGGAAGTCTACGCTTATGAAGTACATCGTTCACCATGCATCTACCATAGCGCACCTGGGTCATTGGGCTGGCAAATCTCCTATCTTGTTTATTTATTTCTATTTCTGGGAGGCAACTACACAACCTCTCCAGTATACCCAGGAAGGCCTTTTGCGCACTCTCCTCTGGCAGTCTTTCAAAACCAGACCAGAATTAATTCCTGTCGTGACTCCACACCGCTGGACAGCAAAGTTCGCTCTACACGGCTTGGGAGGCTCCTCTCCTGAGTGGACGTTGGACGAATTAGAAGAAACATTTCGGAACCTGGCTTCACTTAACGGCTCATCTTTCAACTTGACTATGTTTATTGACGGGCTTGATGAGTTCGATGGCGAGCCTGAGGCTTTGGTAGGATGGGTGAAGCGGGCTGTCGAGAAGTTCGGCATCAAAGTTTGTGTTGGAAGTCGCCCCTGGACTGCTTTCGCCGATGGCTTTGAACAGCATCCTTCACTTACTATGCAGCATCGTACAGCATCAGATATCGAAGCTTACGTTGATGGCCATTTCAACACCAGCCCGGCTTTCAAACAATGGCAAGCAATATCTGTTAAAGAGACAGAAAAGCTACGACAACAGTTTCTGATCAAGGCTGACGGAGTTTTCCTCTGGGTCTATGTGGTAGTAAAGGACCTTATGTCAGCTTTAGCCAAAGGCAAGAGCTTGAAAGAACTCCATGCGATCCTGGATGCTTTACCTGTGGACGTCATAAAGATGTACACCAAGATATATGAAAACCTTGACCCAAATGAAGCTGCAACAGCCTCTCGCTATCTAGCCGTACGGCTCGCTTCCGCGATCTCGCTCACTACCGATGTATTATGGTCTATTGAAGAGAAATCGACGGCTCCTCCACATGATCCGTATGAGTCTGACCTAAGGGACGGCATAATCGAGAGACGTCTGGATAGCTCCACACGAGGGATGTTGGAGCTCTCAAGAGGCTACATCGAATTCCATCACAGGAGCGTCAGGGAGTGGTTACTACTCGATGATGTCTCGCAACTAATGGAGTCCAGGCTCCCTACAGATTTTAATGCAACCCTTTTGCTATTGCAAGAGCACATCCGGGGCTTGAGCTATTACGGCTCTTCGCGTTGGGACTACTTCTGGCCGTTCATGGCTGAGGGAGTAGTTGAGTCATTCTGGGCTGCTATCGCCATAGCCTTTCAATATGCAAACATGGCCAGTGGATCGGCGGCTGTAACACAGTCAATGATTTGCATGTTGGATAGATTTCAACATGTTCTCGATGAAAAGGCAAAATTAATAGTCGAGGCTAGGTTTCGGAGCAAGATTGAGAAGCCCGATCCCTGGATGCTTCGGAAAGCTGCCGGCGACAACGAACTCAATCCACAGACACGACCACCGCCTCAGTCATCTCAGTCTATCTTCTCTCCATTCTCCAAGTTGTACAGCAGTAGTCAAAGGTTGATGCAGAGAATGAAGAACACAAAAGCCCAAGAGCACCATACGGCTTACCAATGGTTTTTCTCCCAAGACGACAACTTCCGGATCACTGCAGAAGATAGCTTCGTTGGTGTGGCTGCTCAGTACGCTGTAGTTCCTTATGTAATGGCGAAAATCAAGGAGAACAAACAACTCGTCAAACAAAGAGATGACCAAAGATCGCTTCTCCACAACGCGATTTTCGGGTTCCGGATGTACCGAGAATGTTGGTTTTATTTTAAAGATGTTGAAGATGAGGACGGGTCATATTATCCAAGATTGGAATTGGTGAAAGGGTTGCTGGATGCTGGAGCAGCGACAAAAGGGCATATACATCTTCCAAAAGCTGGCCCAGTTTATCAAGTCCCAGAAGATTTTGATTACGTAGATGTTATACAGAGTCTTCCAAAAGATGCACGAGAGGCGACTGGACCAGAAGAGTATTGGAATGAGGTTATACGACTTCTCCAAAAGAAGAAGAGATGGGAGTTTGGTCATCGAAAGAATCAGTCGACTACATAAATTGGTAGATGCGAGCAGACGGATATAATCACCGCGGCCCTCGACTGAACCTATAAGTCCACAATAGAAACAGTTATACTCCTTATCATGATAGTTAGGCACCATCCGAGGAAGAAAGACCCTGGCCCTCATACAGTCAAGCTCGTGCGAATTGTATGCGGTGTTGTTCAAAATGGACCACCATTGCAATGTAAGCCATCAAAGTCGAGAATATGGACCCCTCGAAGAAGGGAATCACTCCTTCATTCGGCCCCTACGATCAAGAAACTCTTCCTTAACCATATCCTCCCTGAGGTATACAAATATGCAAGAGCTTCGACAGGGATCGGAAAACGAGCGGCTGAGAATTATGCTAAGCTTCTCATTGGTCGTCCTACGCCTTTCTGAGTGTACCTATAAATAGAATAAAAATCTTTCGGTCTTGAATCTTCTAAGCTTTCAAACCCCGTTCAAGATGGATTGGTAAACTCCTAGAAGATGCATCATGATAAGGATCCATTTCAAGGCAGCTCTGGGATGGCGAGTGTTAAGATGCGGCATTGAGGAAATTTCTTGAACATGGATTTGTGCAAAGTAGGCTCCTAAAACGTCCAAGAGAGTTTGAATGACGAGCCGACAGTGTGGTATTCTTGTTTGATCGTAATCGTAATTGAAAAACCTTATAAATTAATGTCTAGTATAACCATGATGTACTGCTAGAATGGCCAGCTACTTCATGAAGGTACAGGGAAAACTGGGTTACACCCAGAGGAAAAACCCCAGACTCCAGTCTCCAACTCATCCTCACAAACCTTCAACACCAACAACCCAATGCTAACGAGTGTAGAACTCACCATCATTCCAAGTAACGGTAATAGGCCCTGAGCCGCTTGAAGTAGCGTAGGCTCCATACGTCTTGTGGTGAAGTAGTGGAGTATTTCTCTTGCCCATTGATGTAGACCTTGTATAAACCAGTATCGGCATCATGAATGGTGTTGACAGTGACCGTTGCACCAACTTTGGCAACTCCCTGAGCAATCATCCCTCTGCCTCCCACACCGTACAAACTTCCAGATTTATCCGCAGCCAGCATGAACCATGCGCCCTTGTTTCCGAGTGTTTGCTTCAGAGAGATTCGATCCCCTTTGAACGAGTTAATGGAGAATTTGCCAGTAAACTGGTGAACGTCCGAGTTATAGTGATCTTCGGAGCTGTATTCGGCGCGGAGATGCCCGTTGCCGCATCCGGAACCGACCTTTTGGCCGTTGGCCTTTGGTGGAAGATGAAAGGAGTCACCTTTGATTTGTCCTCCTGCGCAGTGCTGCGGGTTGAGGGAAGGTTCGACTTTCTTCCATCTTCCGCCACCGAGGGGAGTGGCGGCAAGAGCCAGAGGGACCAAGAAGGCGATGGATAGGTTGTTGAGAAGCATGACTGAGGAAAAAGGTGTAGTGACGGCGAGTGAAGGGCGTATACAAGCTGTTCGGAGAAGAAAACGAACAAAAAGGATAAAGAACAGAGTGGTTGTTGGAGGGTCAGAATGGGACAGCTAAAGTCTATCTAAGAACACGAGTTCAATTTTTCTTCAGATGTTTGCAGTAAAATAAACCGTATTTCATAGAACCTCTCGAGAAAAGGAGACACAGAACACAGATTCATAGGAATCATCAGATCCATCTTCCTTAATTTCCTAGGCATCTGACCCATGGCTTGTTACCCGTCCAGGAACTTCGAACATGTTTGTGGAGGCTTCATAATTGTGTTGATGATGGTTCGAAGGAGCCGAATCCTTCCTGGGCTTGCAGTAAAACAAATTATAGTACTTCGCTGTTGTTTCCATATGCATTGAAGGATTATAGTCAAACTTGATATGTACAACCCTCAGGAAAGCCTGCCGAGCTGTGTTTCAACTATAGTACATTTATCTACTATGCTTGATTGAGTAGAATGAAGCGCTACTAAATGCAGGCGGAAAGGGATACTTATTCAGGTTAGCATGCAGTCTGACTAAGTTCTATGTAGTGAATATGGGGTCTTAGCCATAGGTCTCAACTGCAAATAACACACCTAGCTTACAACTTCGATATTGCACCATAATTAATAGCTGACCTATTGCTCTAGTATAAATGCTGAGAAGTAAAAGGTCTAAGAATACGACTCTAGTGTATGAGTCCATGATAAGGTTAGCAAATACACTTCTCGTTCAACGGAATGGGCAGTCCATAGGTCAACGTTGCTTAAATAGTGCATTACTGTCATAAACATCACTATTTGTGAAAAGTGTCTCGACAGTAGAGATTGGCTGCTTGAATATAAACTGAGCCCAGCATATCTTGTATCACATGCAGTTGTAGTATATCTCAGTGCCCTTCAATTCTAATTTGGTTTATATATCGTCCCAGGCACCCATAAACTTTGTCAATTCAAATCAGTAGATATTAGTCTGCGTTCTTACCTCACGCTGTATGATAACCTTGTAACAATCCATGTCAAAATTCTTACAGGTCTGACATACTCAAGGAACATTGATAATGCCAATTTGATGCCGAGTCGTCAGAGATTTGAGCTAGACAAGGTTAGCCCAGAAGAGTAACGGGTGAGTTAAGCCGGATACTTCAGAGGAAGAATGAATGAACATTAAAAGTACTACGCTTCTTAATTTCAGTCAACATCTATACAAAGATTTGGGCGGACGCAGTCATGTTTGAGGCAATGAGGACAAAGTAGTGTCCTTCTAGGTGCTGCAACAACCCTGGAAAGTACACCATTCTCAGAAATCGTTGTTCCTCTCATGACAAAGCCCGATTTTACAATATATACTAACCGCAAAAGCATATCCGAGCTATTTTCCAAATCACTCTATCGTCAACTTTTTAAAATCTCGGCTGCCCCAATCTTAAAGGGAGCGTGGTTCGATCGAGTCGAATTAGTAAGCTCGTGGAGATTGGCATGATAACGCTCCATTTTCCTGATCTAGTGTCTTTTCTAGACCCAACTATGACCTTATCACAGCTTATCATCTAACAATTCATCTCCATTCTTATCTCCATTTAGAGTGGACCGCCGTTACATCGTCAAAACATTGACGTCGGTACCAAGGACCGGGTTTCTCATGCTACCAGCTTGTCGATTCGTTCAGTCGTCAAAAAAACGTTACATCAACTCAACTCTGCGCCTTGAATTGGAATCAGCCCACAATTCTCGCCAGAACAAACAGAGACTAAAAGAATATGGTCCTTGTCTGTGGAGAATGCCGAGGCGGCGTAAAGCGTCATCTATGGAGCCAAGGCAATGGATCAAGGCTGGTATTGGTTCTTCGAGACTGTTCCGGTTTCTTGGAACCCTGTATAGGATGACATATCAGACTCTGATATCGGTGGTTCGTCGATCTTTGATGGTTTAAGTATCTGGGACCTCGCAAATCCCTAAAGAAGCAGAATACCTTTCAGACCTCGCGGTATACGTCAAGATGGGCGATATCATCGATGCCGGAGCTTCTTCCAAGCTCTTCACTCCTCTGGACATTGGAAATGGCAAGATTCACCTAAAGCACCGCATTGTTCATGCTCCTCTTACCAGAAACCGAGGAACTCCGGTTAATATCGAGTCTACGCCGGAGAACCCCAACCGACTCTGGGTTCCCAATGATCTGATGGCTGAATACTATTCTCAACGAGCGACCGATGGTGGTCTCATCATTTCTGAAGGTCTCCCTCCTTCACTTGAGGGTAATGGAATGCCAGGCGTTCCAGGCATTTTCTTGCCTCAACAGGTAGAAGGCTGGAAGAAGGTCGTTTCTGCTGTTCATTCCAAAGGAGGTTATTTCTACGCCCAGCTTTGGCACTCCGGCCGCGCCAACATCCCTCAGTTGACTGGAACTCCTATTCTTGCTCCCTCTGCCACACCATGGGATGACCCCAACGAGACCTTCTCATATCCCCCACCTCACAGCACCACGCCCGTTAAAATCGCAGACTATCCACCTATCGAGATGACCGTTGATAAGATCAAGAGTACTATCAGTGACTACGTCAATGCCGCAAAGAACGCAATTGAAGCTGGTTTCGACGGTGTTGAAGTCCACGGTGGAAATGGATACCTTGTCGAACAGTTCCTCTCCTCAAACGTCAACAAACGAACGGACCACTACGGCGGTTCTGAGGAGAAGAGATGTAACTTTGCAATTGAACTTATGGAGGAACTAGCCAAGGCGATTGGTCAAGAGAACCTGGCTATTCGTCTCACCCCTTTTGGTCTCTTTAACCAATCTCGTGGTGAGAAGCGCGTTGAAACGTGGAGTCACCTCTGCCGTGAACTGAAATCCCGCTTGCCCAAGCTTTCGTACGTTAGTTTCGTTGAACCGCGGTATGAGCAGATCTTTTCGGAGGAGGAGAAACAAAAGTTCTTGGGATCTTGGGGTTTACCTACTGTCGATCTGTCGCTGTTCCGTTCGATCTTTGGAGATACACCATTCTTTTCCGCTGGCGGATTCAATGATGTTAACTCCTGGGGTGTTGTCGAGAGTGGAAAATATGATGCCCTTTTGTATGGAAGGTATTTTATCAGTAACCCTGATTTGGTGGAGAGATTGAGAAACGGTTGGCCGTTGCAGGCATATGATAGGAAGACGTTTTATGGGCCTTTTGAGGATAATGCTGTTGGATATACGGATTATCCCTTTTACAAAAAGGAGTAGTCTAGATGTTGAGTTACATAATATTCTGAATATGTTTCCCAGGAATAAAAGCTTGGATAGAATATAGGTAGAAGATGAAATATAGTAAAACATGAGCCTTAGCCTCCTAAGTAAGGTACTTATCGCCCCGAGACAATAGAGCTTCCGACACCCGAGTCCGTCGGTGTCAGGGGCCTTTTATCATCATCCTGCCACTCAGTAATCTCATTTCCGTGTCCGCTAATCTTTGAGCTCTGTCGATGCAGAGGTAAAGACAGGTCCTTTTTCCCTCCTAGTTTGTAACGCCTCACAAACCTAGACAAGCGCGACCCTGAAGAAACATGTGATGCTACCTCGCTTGTGTCCAAATAGTCAGGCGAAGTCTGCTGTGGTGTTGATGGTGGGGTGATGGAAATTTGTGGTTGAAGTGCGACAGGGCCTGTCTCGCTTTGGGCTTCTGCGGTTGATTCTGGTGTCTTTTTGGGCTCTTCGTTGATCGGCAACTCGACGATGTCAACTTCGCTTTCATCTTCGACCGTTGCACGTCTATCTGGAGCAGCAGAATCTTGAGTTTTAGACTCCATCGTCGCGATAAGTGGGGGTACTTTAACTCTATGTTTCTGTCGAAACACAGATATAGGCTTATAGAAAGTCGAAGTGAAAGTGCGTCTCTGTCGCATGCTTCTCAGCTGAAGTGTCGTCGTAGCAAGCTCTTTAATCATGGACTTGCTTAAGTTAGCGATGAAGTCTAAATCTTTATGAAGCTGATTACTTGCCCATGTCGTGCTAGGTTCCAATAGGACACGCCCTTCTTCTCGTCTCTTAACAATTAATCCAAGCTGTTGTAGAGCTTCAAAGCTGGCCCATTCTTCTCCAATAGCCAAGTAATCTTCCTTCATGGCTCTCTCATCAGTCTCCTTTGCTGGGTAGAACTGAGGTAAATACCCAGAATGCAGGAACTGCAAGAAGATGGGCTGTTCATTGATGAACCATGTTTCACCAAGGTCTGATTCGTTAGCAGCTGCACCTTTCAAGAACCCTATTTATTACGCACCGTTGCCTCGGATATACACAAGCTTCAAACCCTGCCCTCTTATTAATGTATGTGCCAAATCCAATCCATGAGGATTTCTAGCAGATTTATCGCCAACAAGCGCTCCCATGATCGCTCTCCCTGGATATCCTTTCTCAGACATGAATGCATCACAGTCCCAAATGGGCTCATCGCCTTGCCTCATGATACCTAGGTTAACAGATGTGAGATCAAGCTTGGGAGTCATTGGCCCAGCCTCAGAGTCTGTAGAATCTGCTTGTGGTAGAACAACAAAATTAGGTTTTTGGAACTTTGTTCTCGCTGATTTTGTCTCTGTGACCGGATTATATGACTGAGTTGGTGGGGGGGGGATATGTCTCTCCTGATGATGATGGGAAAGGATATCTATGAGAGGGGTTTGATGCACCAGGCATCCAGTTTGACTGGTCCGGAGATTTGTAAGACGGTGCATAAGGATTTCGAGCCTGACCGTACGGTTGGCCGTAGCCGCCATTCTGGTATGGCATAGTTGGTTCTTCCGATGCTGGTGAAGGGCCATTATTTCGAGGGGGTGCATTCGTATATCCCAAGGTAGGTGTCCTGCTTCGCGCCGGCCTGAGTATTCTGCGACCACGAGGATCAAACTCCGGCAGATTGTTGTACTTGATATCTTCTCTTAGGAACCTATTGCGAGCTGTTCTTGTTTCCTATCCAAGCCTTAGCATATCTATACACTACCGGTAATTTTGGATTACTTACTTTTCTCCAGGTTTTCTCTGGGTCCTCAGGCCCGTAAAGCGACTCTTCACTGTCGGAGCTGTCACTTTCTCCAAATGCCCTACTTTTATCAGGCTGATTATCCGCTTTCCCCTTCTCAACCTCGCTCTCGCTCAGTGATGTCCAAGCCAAAAGAAGTCGATTGACAATCCTTCCTGGTTCTTGAGGCTTGGGGTCTCGGAATCTCACTCTCTCCCGACGACCCCCATTGTGTTCAGAGTCATCGGAATCATCCGAATGTCGATGTTGGTACCGCACTTCTATCTTTTCGTCGCTTCCAGTGTCTCTCATATATGAGCTCTGATCTGGTGCTCCTTTCACTGGTATCTCGTTGAGAAATACAAGGTTGTAAAGAAACGTAGCTGCATCGCCGCGTCGGTGGAAATCAGGTCCAAACTGCGCGATGCTACCACCAGATAGTGGATCAAACCCCGACCTTCTGCGACGTCGGTAAACCCTTACTTCGTCTTCTGAAGAGATGCGTTCTTCATCTTTATCATCGATCGCAGGAACGGTATAGCGTCTTTCTGGACGTATTGGATCCTTTACACTTAGCGCAAGTGCTGAATGGACCTCTTCTTTCTCACTTGCAGAAAGAAATGCGTTGTCTTCAGAATTCTTGTTTTGGCCGTAGAGCTCCTCGGTCCGTACGTGTCCAGGGATCTCAGACTCACGCACGGGACTTGGTAGTCTTTTGCTTGTGCGAACTGGTGGACTTGGTGCTCTTTCTTGAGGAGGGTCTGGAATTGGCTCTGATTCATCATTCTGGAGCGAAGCTTGACCAGCCAGGATAAGGCTCTCGGCTTGGGCCTTGAATCTGTTTTCCACTTTCTCTTGTATTGGTAGACGGCTGGAAAGGTCAGAACCATTGTTCAAAACTGCCGAATGGGTGCTTACCCGCTGGTGGACTTGACCAAGACAGCCGCCGAAAGAATCGTAATTTGCAGGGTCAATGTGACCTTGTGTTTATCGATATCCGACAGCAACTTCGCAGCCTTGCGCCACTTAACCCTCCTCAAGACGCTCTCATCAGTTGCCATCTCTGAGACTTCTTGCTGCGTCACCTGGATATTCTTAACAACATGTCGAACAGCATCGCAAAACTGTGGCTTTGCATATGATTGCCCCGTTCTGATGATATCGCATAAATGCTCGAGGGTCACAGTCAAGCCAGACATCTCAATGGCGACAGATTGGATCTCCTTGGGTGCATTCCTCACGGTCTTATAAAGTCTGAATAGAGTATTGGAGAGCTGAGCGCCAGCTGACGCTATGCCTGCGATGCTGGCTATTATTGACAAAGGGTCCATGGCGAGCGATTACCGTTCAACTATCGCACAATTGAGAGGAAAGAAACAAAGGAAACCGAATCGAGGCTGTAACCATAGATTGTAGGCTTTTGAGGACTAAACTTGGTCGTGGATTGCCTTGCGGCTGCCTCTAGAGGCTGTGCACCCCTGTCTTACATCATGCATGTAAGACTGCCTGCAGTTGGCCTAGCAATCATGGCTATGCCTCACTCGATTGGGCCCCGCAGTTCCAGAATGAAACAATGACTTCCACTGAGAAAAGAGAGAGCTGCAAGATAGCCTTTCTCGGCAGAAGGGATAGAGAATATTGTGACCTATTCCATAGCATCCTGGCAATCGACAGTGTATACTTCATGCTGATGAGAGTCACAAATCGTCGTTATTACAAATGCTTCAAGTTCAGTGTCTATCTCCAAAACTCTCTGACTTTGTTCAAGGGACTTGCCATCATTCCGGTATCTCCATGGTTTCGAAGTGTTTAGACAAGAAGCACACATTACCAATTTCCTTAATGTTCAACTTCCGGTGAGCTTTCCGATCATAAAGTGAGACAGGGCTTAGTTCGTGCAACGCGCCACATGCATCATGTTCTCACTCTCACAACCAACACATCAAGGGAGAACAGTGCGGGGACTCATGAATAAGGTGAAATTAGAGGTCCATATTAGGCATCGCTACGTTTCGTATCATCTTTCGCCTTGCAATGTTCTACCTTGCTCGATCGATCAAATAACTCCGATCTCGATAGCCGAGACTTCATCTTAGCCATGCCCGCGTGTATATTTTCGGAACAACAGCATAACGTCCTCATTACTTGTCCTTGGATGCCATACCACTCGCTCCGTGCTTCTTCCCCCAATTCCTAACTTTGGCATCCATATCCCACCGAATAAACACCATAACAATCATCACAACCCAACTTAGCAATGTATTTGCCAAGCCCGCCCAAAATCCGCCACGTATAGCACCACCCATGACAGTAGTCATGACAAGTCTAATAATAGTGCTCGTCGCAATGAGTTCCTCTCCTCTCTCCAACCCCGCAATTGCACGACGAGCACATTCATCCGGTGTGAGGATCTGGTCACCCTCCTCCAGCGCTTTTGTAACATCTGTCTTAACCTTGTTCTCGGTGTCAAGTGACTTGGTTGGCATCGTTGCAGGGAAGACAGTGTGGATGCGCACGCGAGGCTCATTGGGGTGAGCTCCTGCGTATAAGTTCATCTCTTGTGAAAGAGAGTCTGAGAGTGATCTGATGGCAGCTTTTGAGGGCGAGTAAGGCGTGAAACCCGCAAAGCTGTACAACGAAACAAAAGAGCCCGTGAAGATGATGTGACGAGCCGTCGGTATCTTGACTTCTGTGCTCTTCTTCGTAACACTGTCGATAGCAGGCCTCAACCATGCATTCAGTGTAGCATGGGCCATGTATGCACTCGAGAAGTAATTACTATCCATCATAGTCTGGAGCTGCTCAACAGGTGTATCAACGAACAACGTCGGGTGCGCGCTTCCACTACAACACCAGACGATATCCGGCGGGCTGTCATTGTTCCAGGCGGTAACTTCTGCAACGACACGAGAGCATTCTGAAGCCTTGGTGACGTCGGCAGTGAGTGAGAAGAAGCGCTGAGATGAAGATGGGGCAGATTCTTCGACTTGAGTGAGAGCTTCTTTCAAGACGTTTGGGTCACGGGCGACTATAGCGACGTGCGCGCCTCTGGAGGAGAGTTGGCGCGCTGCTGCTAAGCCGAGACCTCTGGAACCGCCTGTAATTAGGACTGTCTACAAAGTGTTAGTGGGGTGGCTGCATTGAGGGAATGGAACGACATACTCTGCCCTCGACAGGGAATTCGTTCCGAGACAAAAACGAGCCCATTGTCTATCGGGAGCGGTATTTGATTGCGTCTCAGATTCGGCAATTATCTCAAATAAAAAGGAGGTAACAATTCAAACCCGTTGAAGTTGTCAGCATTTAAATAGCGGTCCACAATTCTAAACCGCCGCAAAGCGCTAATTGGTTTATTCCACAGGCTCCCAACAAGCAATCGGCTCGCCATGACCTCAATCACCTCAGGCCAGCACAGAATAATTTCTCGATCTCGTTGGAATTGAGCAGATCAAAAGGTTAAAAGAATGACACAGCAAAAGCAAAAAAGCATCGACAACGGCAGGATTCGAACCTACGCGTGCGAACACAATGCCTATGATGTCTCGAAGAGATAGCAGGGCATCGCCTTAACCACTCGGCCACGTTGTCATGCTGTGGCGATTGATATTACGGAACATATACACCACCCCTAGCTCCACCTAGAGACATCTGTTGGGGCCAGCTATCCACCGTGATCCTGCATCACTATCGCGGACGACGATTGCGGTGCTAAAGAGAGACTGAATATTTAGAGCAGCGCAAGTCCGGATTTTCTTTTTACTGCCCCTTCAGTTCCCTGTCAATGGAGGATCACTCACGACGTCTTTGGTCACTGCTCATACCCTCAATACCAGCACGACTTAGGCAGAACGTTTTGCTGACTCTATCAAAATGGTCTAAGATGTGATAAAACAATAATACAAAGAATAGGCTTTCTAAGATCCTCAAAGGCTTACTGACTTTCTAGAAAACTCTTCCCAAATTTAGATTAGATAACCCTAAGTTGATGAACTGCCCCTGGCCACTCACCATCATCCAGCCATCCTACGCCAGCACACCACAGATAATATTCATCATCAGTAGCCTCAGCATGAAACCTTTTTTATGCTGACATCTGAGCCTGTGCAGTGAAGTCTTACACTGATCGGTCAACACAACATCCCCAAGAGGCGTTTCACATCGATCAGCCGGCAATGCTGTGAAGTTTGAACTGCACCTAACGAAGGGACCGACTTGTCTCCGATATAATAACCACGGTAGACCTTTTCAGGAATTCCGCATATTCCACTGCGCACCCGTACCATCTCCATATGCCGCTTTCCTTTTACCCAAGAGCCTCTTACCTCGCCATCTCATCTCTCCGCCCCCAAGGACACAAGCACCACATATCTTGATCACGAACAATTGCTGAGGGCGGTAAGGCCGTTTGAATCAGTTGTGCTGTCCAGCTATAGGAATGGGGCCCTGGGTACACCGTAAACAAACCAGAGCCCAAGGAGGTCAATCTGTACAAGTATGCTGCCTGAAGTGTGTTATTTTGAGTTGACAGACCTGACAGATGATACTTGCATCGTGCGCCTCACTCGTATTTTTCGTATCAAGAGCCAAGGGCGACGTTGTTATAATTTTCCTTGATAATGCTAATTGGTTAAAGCGACACTTTTAGATAACTCTATTTTGCGAAGACTTTTCGGATCTCTCACTATGCTTTTCCATCCAATAAACCTACATGATGACTCAACTGGCGACCAACTGAACTTCCTGAGGTATAAATAGAAGGTTTCTTGGCCCCGATTCTCCATTGCTGAAGCAAAACACTGAACCCTCCCTCTTCTCAATCTCGGACCACAAAAGCCAAGCACAACCACCAATCCACGATCCACGATCTACACTCTACACTACGGACTCAACTCCTCTGCGTGCTTTATTACTTCATTCTCATGCAAAGCCACTGAACAACCGCCTACTCAGGACATTCTCGCAAACACACCTATCACCACCAAAGAAACACCGCCCCCTTTCAGCCATATCTAGATTTTACGATTTTCTAGTGTATTTCCCTTTTCTCATGCCTGTAGGTGTTATCTGCTGCATCTCTCGTTTAGTAGCTTTCTAACATATTATTTCAGCAGACTCCTTCTCCTATACCCTGGCACAAGAATCCTCTTCTGCTGCCGGCTGTTTGCTGCACTATCATTGCTATCATACTTTGGTCATGCATCATCTTCCCTAATGCCCCCCGGTGATTTGTACCAGTGGGTGACCATTGATCACCGCCCCCTTTCAGCCATGTCTGTATATTCCGCTTTTCCAGTGTATTTTGCTTTGGTCAGGCTTTATCTGAGAGGACCTCTGAGGCTTGGTGGGGCACTTCAATACGTGCCTATACCTCCTGCCCCTGAGAGCTACAGCTATGCCGCCAGTGTCTGGTATTACTTGCCACACAGGCAATGTTTTAATCAGTTCCTGGGTATACTGGGTCTTCTGTTCTGTGCGATGGGAGAGATGTGGATGAACAAGACAAGGTTCGAGACGGTATTCGAGGGGTTCGAACGCTAGAACTGGCGGGAACAACTGCTATTTGTCCTCACAACCTCATATCTGGCAAGTGGCCTCTTGACAGCTTGGGATGCTGTTCATTTGAAAGAGCATTAAGGATTGGATTCAATGACTGCAGGTGATTGATGCCTACAACAGAGTGGATGCCTAAAAAGAGGCTTTTAGCCGCGAGACCCCGCAGCGAATAGTTACGCATAGGCTTCGATGATGGCTATGGGGTCTAGAGATGCAAATCCTGTAAAGTACAGATGTTTCTTATAAACGAGAAGAGATGGTCAGTATCATAAGTCTTCAATATGTGCGACAGGGGGGGACTGGGCAAGGAGCTGGATTCGAACGAAATGAAGCCTTTTCTTTTCTTGGAAGCTACATTATTTTAAGCCTTGAATCCTGTAGAGCAATAAATGGAAGATCAGGCCAAGGTACACGATTATTTTGTCATATTCCTTACCCAAAAAGAGTAGGTTACTATGAGTTGGCGAGTATTCCCTCGGTGTAGCCAATACATGAAGTAATCTACATAGTTAAACATGTGCTCTCGGGAATTCCCTGACGGGTATCCTACTAAGCCTGTGTCTAGAGAACACCCTTTTCTACTTTCTCGTTTCTTGATCCGTTATAGTCATATCACATGTTTCCAAACCAGTGTTATACAACGCCAGCCAACTACCTCCAACAACCACCGCGTCACTCAAAATAGTGGTATATAGGTTTCTCCTGGGCTATCTTTCGAGGGTCACTCTTCAAATTCATGCGCAAAATACCATCGGCATTCCGTTCCTGCTTCTCCGGC